ATGTTCAACTATTCGAATATTCAGCTATCAAAGAACACTTGAAGACAACTGAAAATATATCGATGCTTATTGAACTAGCGTTTTTTTCACGAACAAGAAAACAAGGATAAAAAAGTAATACTATTCGAGTCTATTCATTTACAGATAATGAGAGAAACGGTCTGGAAGGTAATCAGGAAAGGAGAGTACAAAATAAATATTTAAAAAGCATGTAATGATGTCTCTTTCATCAGAAACCTATAACATGTCTGTTCTTAATTATAGCAGCATGGAATCATGTACTTAGGGTGATGGAGATTAGATAACATGCATTCAGAATTACAAAATATTTTTAGGTATTGAAGTTTTGTACCCTGATTATAATATTTAGAACCTTCAGAAAAATGTCGAAACAGAAATGAGCTTCGCAGCTACGAATTAATGAATATTAAACACGGTGCAAAAATGGACAAAGAACGGAGGACCTGATCCTGTTTCTACACAGAAATAATAATAAACATTGATATTTAATGCTGTAACTAACACGCCGATTGGCTGCTTTACAATCGCGTATACAACTAATGAACTTATATCCATTAATTACTTGGACTCCCAAGATAATACCAAGTATTAAAACAGCAAAATTTTGAAAACGCTGATACTTTTATCTCATATGTTAACTATTTGTGTGTTATCTTATATATTAAGAGTTGTCAGTAAGGCGATATCAGAGCGGAACATCAAAGAATATCTACTTTGCCCTTCAAACAAATATTGTATACCACAAATACGTTACGTGTGTTTTGTAACATTTTGCAGAGATGGCTGAACTTGAATCATTTGTAAAATTAATTTCTTTTAAAACGACTTCAAGCAATTACTGTGCTTTACTTAAAGCTTCATAAACTTTATTAGGATAATGCATTTCTACATTTCAAGGGAAGATGGAGCAGATCTTTTCCAAGCTTAAGTTACCACTGAAGCACATATTTAAGGAGAAAAAATTGTCAAACTAATTTAAAGAATCGTACTTAATGGAGCGGTCAAATTTATTTCTCAAATATTATAAACCCAGGCTTTACTTGACCTCTTAAATTCAAAGCATCAAATCATTTTCCTGAAACACGTTGCAAAAGTTAAATACTTAAGAAAAGACAATTTATAAACTAAATGCATTACTACTGGAAAAATGAGAAAATTATAGAGTACAAAAAAGTTTTGTTAATCTTCTCTGTTTAAAGCTTCAAACAGAACTTGTCAAAGGAAAAGTGTTTTGAAGCCTCAAACCAAGTTGATCAACTAGAAAACGTTAACATGTTTTGTTCCAACTCATATTCTTTATTAATTTAATATAAATCTCATTAAATTCATTTCTTTTCCCGACATTTTTCCGTTTTCTATGCCACAGAATGTAAAAAAATTCTTAAAGAAATTACTCCTAAAAATTATAAAACAGAAAATATAAAAATCAAAAATCATCTAAAGGCCTAAAATGGCTAACGCTCAAATGCTAAAGGAAATGCAATAGAATAAAAAAAAATAATTTTCAGATATGAAAATTACTTTGAAAGTCCTATTTAAATGCAAAAAACAAAGGCAGACTTGAAAATGTAAATTAATTAAACTTTTTTGCCATTAAAATTTTGTCAAATTTAAAATCTTGTGAAATTATGAAGTAAATGTAAAGATGGAGCAATTATGCTCAAAAAGGAAAAATGCTTAAAACAATTAAAGACTGAACAAAAAAAAAAAAAAAAAAAAAAAAAAAAAAAAAAAAGATATATCCCTCAGTCGACGCAAACGCGGGCAGCAAGTTAAGCTGTGAAAATTCCAGACGCGGAAGGGTTGCCAAAACAAAGTTTCTTTGGCCAAACTTCAAACGAACCTAACAGAGGAGCCTCTAGAAATTTGAAACAGTCTTCAACAACGAATAGTAAAGAACTTCAAACCTGAAACAAGTCAGCGTTATCTTGTTGCTATGCCAATGAAGACTTCAGGAAAAAAAAGGGGGAATTGTGAGGGGGGCGATGGAGGGTCGTTGCCAGAGGTAACCAGTTAGAAAATGGCATCGCTTTCAAGTTGTTTGTTTTAAAAGAGATTTATCCAAAATGGCTAAATGACTAAGTATTTTAACTGAATCTGGCCTCAAAGCAAAGGAAATATGAAAAAATTGTTAGTAAAAGTCGTCATTCTTCACGCAGCCGAGCTTTAAATACGTCTTTAAGAAATGAAATAATCCATTTTGTTTATTAACAGGATAGCTGGCCAGTAAATCTTTAGAATATATAGAGAATATATTCTGATCATAAAAGCCAAATTCAAAGAGAATAGAGAAATTAAGTTACATAATTACACTAAATTACTTCTGAAAGTCATCCACTGGTTCCCTCCTTTGGAGGTTTGGGTAAAAAATTTCATACAACTTTAAACTAATAATTTAAAAATTCAGGTAAATGCCAGCTTTTTTAAAGTATGTGAAATTATGAAATTGGGAATTTGATTTTCTAAGAGGATGTGAATAAAGTATTGTATTTCTTCTTGAAGAAAGTCTGTGTTATTGCAAATTCTTTTTATTCTAAGTAGTTGGGTATTAATTGTATTTATAATGACTTAAACTCATATTTAAATTTGGGGAATACTGTAGAGTTAATGGAGCTTCTGAAAGTGATCAGCATTCATTAGTTACAAATCAGTGGCATCATTTAAATGAAAAGAGAAAATGGCGATTCATTTTTAGATTAAAGGGGGGCGTACAAACACAAATAGAATCAGTAAAGATCTGAATATCCTTTAAAGTTTGATATCAAGAACCTGGAACCGATTTTTCCACTAGTGAATCATCTTGAAAATAGCCTGATCAAGGACGGCCAAGAGCAACAGCTGCATTCGAAGGCCATTTTCTGTCGTCTGCAAGAAACGGTAAAGCGAGTACAAGATAGTTTGGCCACATGACCTTGAATCAACCATTCTATTGCTGCACAAATGTTTGACGAAATTGGCCCTCATATGGGAAAATTAATAGCCTGTGTTTCAGTCACTTTGTCTTCAAAAAGGGCCAGTTTAATGTGGTGCTATTATCATTTTCAGTAGAGCCAAGAGGAATGGAATCGTGTAGGTTTTCACAAGAGTCCAAATATAGCCTGAATGACTATTATAGATTGTTTTCGTCTGGAGGAAGGAAGGAATACACTTGTTACTTTCCTTGTTAATGAAAGACGAAACGATTTCATAATTCACAGTGAAATCATCCAAAATTGCCACACCGAACACTCTTCTGTAATTGGTCACAGATTATGTGGACGAGGTCTTAAAACTCCATGTAATGCTGTTTATGGATGCTTTTGACCTAGAAGTTTTGATAACATCAACAATTGTCTACATCAAGCATCTCTGATATCAGGATGCTTGGAAAAAGAAGATATTAGTCTAACAGAGTGACCGAGTTACCCTCCAAATAAGAACCCAATTCACTATTTGAGAAATGCCCTAAGCCACCGAACTGTAGCGCGCCAAATAACTCTTCGGGTTCTCCAGGATCTGTGAAGTATACTTTTAGAAGAGTGGAGTGCAATTCTCTAAGACCCGATCATTAATTTGGTAAATTCTGCGAAATTAAGATGTAACTTTTGACGTACTGGGGAAACGGTGTAGCACCAGGGTGCCTGGGTCAAGGACCCTACCCCTTGTAGAACAGGTATGTTATTTCGAATGCTGTCATGAGTAAATAGTATATATTTAAATTATATATATATATATATATATATATATATATATATATATATATAATTAAATTATGTTTTTAACATTTTTTTAAATATTAGAAGAATAGAAATAAGAGATAAATTAAAAGATAAATTTCTAAAAAGACTAAAGTGAGAGAAAACATTCGTATAAATAACAGGCAAAGTAGTATGGTAACGTTAACGTAAATAATAGGCAAAGTAGTGGTTAAGATGTAACGTTTGCATTTCTGTACAATGATGGCACACCATATTAAAGAAAAGGAAATTTATTGCAAAATAGGGATGATTACTTTTAATCGATTTTAAATTTCAGAAAACTTAATTTTAAATTCAATATTTTGAGATTAATCAAATGACAAACATGGGAACTGAAGTTAAGTAATATTGTACAAATTATTTTTAATAGTTTTTCTACAAGTAAGTTTTATTTCTGTCAACATACGTTTATTTTGAAAGCCAATGTAGTAAAATAGTAGTAGTACTTTTCTGTAGGAGAGCTTTAGTTAATTTATATTCCATCAATAACAAAATATTTCACAAGAAGAATAAATGCCCTTTTTTAAAATATTACATTGCTTAAAAATATTGCTAAATACTATTGCATAGCATCTACAAAAAGAAAACTTCCGCAATAAATTATGTTTCAAGAATTTACGAGAGTGCATTTTTGTACTTCAGATTATACTTTAAGATAACGAAAACACCGACTTAGCAAGAAAAGTATTTTACTTCATTTACAATTTTTAATGTAAGATTTGCTACTTGTTTGAAAAAGGTTTAAGAACCTTTTAGATTCTTCAAATTAAAGCTGAAGGAAAACGATTCTTCACTTTACCTAACTTTGACAGAGGGAACATTAATATATCATGGGAATAACTAAATTTTATAATTTTAAGATTACTAAATGACGACATGAGACACAAAAAGCAAAATTAAATCTATTTATGTAACAAAAAATTTATCTTTCTATTTTAAGCTTATCTTTATGCTTTTGTTAAGTGCTTTTAAAGATTCTGCAACGATACTTTAATAAAAAGAAAACATAGTTATTTTGAAAAGAGTATTTACTAAAACCATATGAAAATGGCTTTTTACGAATGTGTAGACATATTATAATTTATTTATGAAATTTATCAGCGCTTCTTTTTGAGTTAAAATCATCCTTACTAAACATACTTCAGCTTTACAGAATTATTAACATTATAATGTAATGTTTACTTAATTCAAAAATAAGCATTTTCATTACAGAAAATGCATAAAAATATGCTGTCCACTTACGTCATAAATGCATCCGGGTTGTACTGACAATTGAAGGTGATATTTTCTCCAGCAACCACTTTTGTTTCACAAAATTCCGTGTTGGAGTCGTAATACCAGTACAGCTGATTAAGGCCACAAGCAAAAGAAGTTAGCACGAGAAAAAATATGAACAGAAATTTGGCAATATCGATGATCATGCATCCTAAGGAAATCTGAAGTGGCCCCAGATGAGGATTCGTCTGAAACAAATAGATGATTCTTGCAAAACTAAAGACGTTGGCAACAGCGAAGACACCTTCAGCTATGAGAGAAGGGTCATTGCCTGGCCATAACGCACGTTGGAGAACTCTTGGGCCGTAACGTCCACTTTGGACCTGAATATAAGCGACCCCTTTCAACGAAAAGGTAGTCAAATACAAGCTTAACATTATGAAGTCTAACCAATTCCACCACTGACGAACGTACGCCTTCAGTCCTTCTTCCCAGAGTTGTTTGCACTCCGCCCAGACCATTCCTAAAGGAATAAGAACATATTATTGAGCTTTTCTAACAGTAGAATTTTATAGAAAATTAAAATATTATCAAGTGAAAAATGTGAATCATATCATATATATATATTAAATCCTATAGAGTAAATTTAAAGCAATGACGGCAATAGTATTTATATTACTTCTTAACTCAAACAGCATATTGTAAATTCCACTTTGGGTAATAGATAGACATCAAATTAAAAAAAGAATTCTCATAGCATAAAGGTTATAGATTGAGATCTATAATATTGATTCAGATGTAGTATCAACTTTTCGTTTACCGACAATTGATACGTAGAAAATTTATCTAAAAATTTTAAAAAATTGTAAATTGATCGTTTATTTTTCAAATTTTTCTTCTAAACTGACACTTAACACTTCCTACTCACAGGATTCAAATAATTAGGCTATGTTATATCTGCTTTATAATTACCTTCAATTGAAGGTGTATCAGTTTAAGAACTTACTAGGTGCTTTTAGAAATGAAGTTTCTTAGCATAGAGGCTTCATATTTTTCTGGATGATTTAAGCTGCATAATTAGGGATAGATTTCATTTACAAAAAATATAAATTGTTGTTCAGCTGTGTTAAATTCAGAATTTTTTCCCAGATATTTCACTTTAAATTAAAGAATATCTCTTATCTAAAATCTGAAATCCTTACTTTTCAGCTGAGGTTCATGAAACACTTCTTTAGAACTTTTTTTAATTTCTTGGTACTTTATCCATAACACGTCGAAGCTCGTGAATAGGAGAATTCCGTGAACGCATAGCAGCTATTGACTAAACTGAATTTTTTAAATAAAGGAAAAATACACGAGGGATATCTACCTAAACTCCATCAGCCCCAACCCATTTTTAACTGAACATGCAAAGAACAAACATGGCGAAATGAGTGGCGAAAAACATGGCGAACAAAAATAAGAAGGCAACGCCCAGTAAGAGCACTTAGTGAAAGAAAATAAGGGTTTTCTGGATAAAGACGTTTCCCAGATATTTCACTTTAAATTAAAGAATATCTCTTATCTAAAATCTGAAATCCTTACTTTTCAGCTGAGGTTCATGAAACACTTCTTTAGAACGTTTTTTTAATTTCTTGGTACTTTATCCATAACACGTCGAAGCTCGTGAATAGGAGAATTCCGTGAACGCATAGCAGCTATTGACTAAACTGAATTTTTTAAATAAAGGAAAAATACACGAGGGCTATCTACCTAAACTCCATCAGCCCCAACCCATTTTTAACTGAACATGCAAAGAACAAACATGGCGAAATGAGTGGCGAAAAACATGGCGAACAAAAATAAGAAGGCAACGCCCAGTAAGAGCACTTAGTGAAAGAAAATAAGGGTTTTCTGGATAAAGACGTATCTAACATCGAAAGTCAATAAACAGAACTTACGGTCGCCAAAACAACGAAGTCACTATGAAATTAAACAATATATTTTCTGTTAATAACACCGTTGTTCAGGATAAAGAGCAAAATGATTTTAAGAAATATAGAGAAACCTTGGTTCACAAATTTAATTTGTTCTCAAAGATATTTCGTCAACCTAAACAATTGTTTCCATAGGAATTAATGTAAAATGGAGTATTTCGTTCACGGACTCCAAAGAATTGCGTAGAAAAGAGTACTTTATTCGTAAGTTTGCAATGCAAAATCAGTGGGATTTATTAAATCTGATACATATATGATATTAACATGTATGCAATGTTAACACAATTCTAAACATAATAAAGCAGGAAAACTTACTACACAAACATATCTGTCTATCTATCTCTATATATAAGAGACATTTTATCGTATCTGTACAAAGAAGTTGACGACATATGCCGAAAACAATAAAGAAACGATGGTACAAAATATTACTGCTTGAAAAGGAATCGTTTTCCGTAAACATATGAGGTAGCTACTGCCTTTGAGAAATTTTTAAAAATATTTTCTTAGTAAAGGTGTTCTCTGGAATCGTTGGACCTTAGTTCCATTGAAACCTTATCTAACGCGATTTATTTCTGTGCACACTTCAAACGTTCGAAACCAAGAAATGGCATAATGATAGAAAACATTATGTTACAGCTTTCTACTGGTTTATCGGGTTGTTACTATCGGTAACGTTCTATGGAGCTTTGCATCTTATTTTGTGGATCAAATTAACTGGGAAAATCATCCCTTCATTCTTTTCCTGAAGACATTTCATCCACAATCATCTTTTCTTGCTGCCTACTAAACGCTAAATCGGCTGCACCCAGCAAAGCCGAGCTTAGAAATATCAGTATAAATCGAAAGGTGTCTAACACTGACTAGAGAGCTAAATTCAAACACGCAGCATAAACTAGGAACTAACTCCGCTACTACTCATTTCGAACTCCTGAAACGCATCTTAAATACTGCTTCTGAAACACGTTTAGATTAGCATACTACGCCATTAAAAATTTACATTGTGGCAGGAAACTGAAATCAGGAAGGAAGGGAAAGTAAAACTAAAAATAATTGGTTAGAAAATAAGGTCTTTACAACATTACCAGTTTGTTTTTAACTTTCTCATAATCAGAAATCTTAGCCGACAATAAAGTTATCCCAGAATCCTTTTCACTATTAAAGTCAGTATAATTATGGAATGAAAAGGGATATAGCAGTGAAATAATGTTTGTACAGATCGATAATCAACGTATTCAGACTTATCCCTGCAAATTTGAGTAATGAATTTTAACATCTAAAGGTAATAAACCAGGGAGTCTGAATCTTGCATCGCCTGGATTGCCATTAAATTATTATTATAAAAACGTTTCTAGTGATTTCAAGATGTTGTAGAATTAGGTTATTTGAATATGGCAAAGCCACGATGGCTATCTGCATTAAAGACGAGATGCCTTCGTGAAGGACTTCGTTCGACCCAAAAGCAGTTTGAACTATTAGTATTCAATAATCTTAACTACTTGGCCACTGGTGGGGCTGATAGACATAGGAGATAGCACAAATATAGTAAGGAGGTCTCATATAGTCTTCATTTTGTTCTTCATAAACTAACTTGAAAATACGTTCACATTTGGCCTTAGCTTTAATAGCATTGATACACTTTATAACTGAATTTAGTACTTCATTTAGAACAGGCCAATTGTTTTTAGCTACCAGGTTTTTTTCTATGAATAACATAATGCACAAGAAGCATTTCTGGATTCTCATCTTTTATCAATTTTAAGCAACCCTTTCTCTTATTCCGTGCTTCATTTTATTTTTCAACCATCATATTAGGAGCACCATCTGCAGTACAAGATGTATTATATCTTTTATTGGCATATTTTTTATATCTCAGTAAATTTAGCTTACTATAAATATCTTTGGAGGCAATGGTGCTTTCTAATGATTTACAGAACATTTCTTCAGCAAAATCCCTATTATGAATATATCTTACATAAGTTACAAGTATGGCTTTACTGTCTCTCAAAGTTGGTTCATTCATTTGCACTGAAAATTTTCTTGTATTTAGCTTTTCAACAAGTTGTTTTCAATATCTTCACTCATTTCATCTTTCTTCTGCAAACAGTATTGTTATTTAGTGGCATAGCTTTAACATCATTGTCATCTTTTTCTAGAGCAATTTTAAATGCTGATATTGATGGTTTGATTAAATTCTCCGCTATAGTACGGCTTTTCCCAGATTAAGCGACGAGTAATGAAATTTCATAAATAGCATCAAAAGTACGATTAACAGTTGCATTATGAGCAGTAAATAGAGACTTTAATATTACTCTTTTTTCAAAATTTTTCCTCAAAGTGTGAAAATAATTCAAATCTGAATTAATATCAGCAATATGTTTCGCCTTCAAATGTGCCTCAAGACGATCTAGTTTCATTGATTCGTTGGTCAGGCATTATTGGCATAAAAGACAGAAGTTGACCGTTTATGCACCGGGTGTGAAACCAAATTTTAAATATGCCTCCAAATACCGACGATTTTTTTTTTCTTGCTTGCACTCCTCATTTCACTAAGGTCTGAAAGAAATCAATACAAACAAAGCTGAAAGCAGCTGCTGTTGCCATTCAAGGAAAGAATAATATACCGGTTGCCATTTCTAGAGTAAAAAATAAAATTAATTCGTTGGCTGAAATGTGCGAGAAACGTCTGGAAAGCATAATCTGTCAGTTATTTAAATGCCTTTTAAAAGCATTTAAATGTCCGTGTCTACAGCCAGAATTCTTTATAAAATATTTAAAATGCACCGCAATTTAAAAACTTTTTTACGTATACATTATTTATATTTTTCTTTATGTTGGGGAATAAAAAATGAAATTTCGAAAATTTTGACTTCATGAAGCATATTTAGAAATTTGAACGTCCTTTGTTCCCTTTTACTCTGTGCGAGTCTATTTTCGATTTGCCCCTTTTAACAGTCGCATTGCCCCCTTGTGGGGCGTGGGCCTCCACGTTGGGAAACACTGACCTAAAGTGAATAGATGCGTTGCGTACTAGATCAATCAAGAATAAATCCTCAAAATGCAAAGTAAAAATAATAGCATACGTCAAAGAGGAAACAAAAGCAAAGCAAAATTATAAAGCGTATAATAATTTAAAACAAAAAAGTCGAAAATAACGAAGCATAATTATTGCAGTCAAAGCAGTAGGTAACAAAGTTAAACAAATGCTTCCAAATGGGGAAAAAATTCACCATAGGAAGCAGAAACAACTTTTCAAAAGCATCAAAAATCAAAGGAAGAATTTATATTTTTTAATATAGAAGTTATAAAAAGTAAAAATATCTACATATCAATAGTGATTATTTAGTTACCTGACCATCTTGGAGTCTGCTGTGTCCACAAACTCCTTACCTAGCTTTCATTTTCGCAACTGTGGGCGTGGACATAAATTTCCAGTTTCATAAATGTTTTTAATGACGCAGATTTTCATGTTCGAGCATTTTAAATTAAAAATACAAGTTTTCTGGAAAATATGAAATCAACTTTTTATATGTTTTCCCGGTCACTA